AGTCTCACCTTGACCAAGTTTGTACTATCAAAGTGATACTGTCTTTGGTACTTTTTAAAACTGGCACTTGGCAACAATGTGTTTCTAAATGGAGATCTCTTTGAAGAGGTTTACATAAACATTTTACTGGGATATATGAGCAAAGATGAGAAATTCTGTTCTAATCCTAAAATGGTATACAAACTCCCAAAAATCTATTCATACAGTCAAACAAGCTTTTCAATAATGGAATTCTAAACTTACTCATTCTTTGTTTGAATTTGGCTTTTAACAGTCTAAAATTGATAATCCCTATTCACAAAAGGATTTGAAGCATATTTTCTTGCCCTTTTAGTCTATATTAATGACATTATTATCGTAAGGCCCTTTTTGGATGGTATTAAGCACTTTTCACAATTCAATTGAAGGATATAAGAGTGTTCAAAAATTTTTTTAGGCTTGAAATCACTTGTTCTCCTACATATATTAATCTTTCTCAATGCCATTATGTCCTACAACTATTTAAAGATACAAGCTTAATGGCTTCAAAGCTTTTTGATTTTTTAATGGATCCAAAATAGTCCCGAAATGCCATATATGGTTATTTACTCAAAGATCTTCTCAATTTGGTAGACTCATTGATAGATTATTGTATTTGGCCCTCTCAAGGCTTGATATTAGTTTTGTTGTTCATAAGCTGAGCCAATATATATCTCAGCCTTGTGAGCCTCATCTTAAGGCAACTCATCATTTTTTGAGATTCCTCAAGTCCAAGCCTTCTCAAGGATTATTATTTCTTTGAGCTTCGCGGTCAAACTTACTACCTTCCCAGAAGCTTATTAGGCCTTTAACAAGGATATCGAGAAATTTATGGCTAGTTATTGTGTGTTTCTCATATGTTTCTTGGTCTTATGGAAAGTGAAAAAGTAAACAACTATTGTTCGCTCATCTATTGAAGCTTAATACTTAATATATATGATTACTACTCGTGAATTATATGGGTTCAATAATTGTTATTTGATTTTGGCATACAATAAGCTGATATTAATTTGATTTTTTTTTATAACAACCAAATAGCTATATATTTAGCTCCCAATTTAACTTTCTCTAAATGTACTAAATATATAGAAATATACTACTATTTTGTTCATGATCATATTAATATTGGTCATATAAAGCTTCTGTTATTATCATCTCAAAACCAACTTGCAGATCATTTTAGCAAGGTTTTGTTATCTACCCTTTTTTTTCCCTCACTATCCAAAATGTCTATTCATTATATTTATCATCCATTTTGAGGGAAAGTATTATACTTAGTTATATTGAATTAATTAACTTAATTTTCTTACTTAACATGTCTATATATGTGTACGAGTTTAGTAAATAACACAACAAGTACATTCCATATTATCTCTTTTTTTATTTTTCTTTCTCTATTTCAAAGCCCTCAATCTCAAAGCTTATATGACAGTGTAGTCTAGTTAGTTTTGAGTCATTAAATATTTTTCTTATTGAAAGAGGAAACAAGAACAAGACAAAACATTACACATTTTAGGTCAAGACACCCCGACAAAGTCGTCACTGGTGAGTTGAGCAAGATCGGTGAAAGGTTGATGATGGAAGTGAAGCCCAGGTGGATTTGAGAAGGTGTGGTTGGCTAAGAAATTAGCATACTAATTCCCTTATATGTAAACATGTTGAATCTAGACTATCCAACTCTTGGCTAAATGGATTTTTATAGCTTGAATAAGATTAAAACAAACACTGATTTGAATCGGTTTATATTAGATAACTCTATTTAGAACCTGGACCGCAAACAGACTGTTCATTTCAAGAATGACTTTACAAGCATCCATATTCCAAGCCATATCCAGGCCATCCAAGGTGCTCAACAACTCAGCTTGTAAGACGGAGCAAGTCCTAATATTCTTGCTGAAACCCCCAACCAAGTTCCATTCGTATCTTAACCCAGGCCACCAGTGTAAGCCAAGTTAACACCAGCCCGATGCGCATTATAAGTGTTGATTTTGATCTAGTCGGAAGGGGAAGGGGACATACCAGCTAGTAAGTTTCTCCTTCTTTCTGCAAGAACGATCGTTGATCATAGCAATAACGAGAATGGCCTAGAAAATTTAATCCACCATGCAGAAAACAACATGTTTCATCTCATCAACACTCCAAGGCTCACCCCCAAAAACGAAATGGTTCCTATAATTTCAAAGATACCAGCAAGTGATCTTGAAAATAATCCTCTAATATCTGAAGTCACCAACGCTATCTATTCTGTAGATTATTGGTTAACCAGTCATCCAGATTGGAATGAAAGAAGGTAGTAGACTCATTAGGATGTATGATCTTCATCTAAAGTTGTCTCGCCTGATGGCAATCTCTAAGCACAAGG